AGGGGTTTAGCGAAGCCGTGCGTGTAACGCAGATCGAAGACTCGCCGCGTGTATCTTGACAGGATTTCTCGTGGCCTTTTCCCAAAGCCTGAGCCCAAGCCTGTAAGTCCCTCTTGTGGTTGCGGAAATCATGGACGTCCTCCTCCTCCTTCTCCTCCTCCTCCGCTTCCTCCGCCTGCTCCGCCCCCTCCTCCTCCTCCTCCTCCTCCTCCTCCTCCTCCTCCTTCTCCTCCGTTTCCTCCTCCTCCTCCGCCCCTCCTCCTCCTCCTCCTTCGCCTCCTCCGCCTCCTCCTCCTCCTCCTCCTCCTCCTCGTCCCGCCTCCTCCTCCCTCCTCCTCCTTCGCTCATCCTCCCCTCCGCCTCCCCTCCTCCTCGCGCCTCCTCGGCCTCTCCTCCTCCTCCTCCTCCTCCTCTCCTCGTCCTCGTCTCCTCCTCCTCCTCCTCCTCCTCCTCCTCCACCTCCTCCTCCTCCTCCTCCTCTCCTCCTCCTCCTCCTCCTCCTCCTCCTCCTCCTCTTCGTCCTCCTCCTCCTCCTGTTCCTCCTTTTCCTCCTCCTCCTCCTCCTCGCTCTCGGGGATAGGGGGGAAGTGTACCCGAGCCCCCCAAATGGCGATTTTCCAAATGAAACCTTTTATTGGTGAGCTTTTTCTCGCGGCTGGGCCCTTTCGCCCAGCGTCGGGAAGTCGCCGATGGATTTTCGCCTCGGAGCCGTTCCAGGGTGAAAATCAATCTGGGACCCTCCCCCGGCGCAAAACGGCGCCCTCGGGGATGGGGGGGGGGGCGTGTGCCCGAACCCCAAAAATGAGCATTATCCAAATGAAATCTTATGAAGAACAATTCCTAGTTTCAGCGTGTCGACTGTATTGGGGAACGAAGATCTGAATTGCTGTCGCTCTTCCACTGCAAGCACTCCACTGGCACCTCTCATCCAAGAGTTGCTCACCAGAAGCCGCGGGACATCCGAATGCAGTGCCGAATGGCCCAACGGCCACCCGAAAAGAAAAACGGTCTCGGGGGTGGGGTCGAGAGGGTCCCCCTGGGTGTGGAGTATAGCGTAAGGGCCCATCATGACGTCGGAGGTCTGGGCCTGGACAGAAAGGACGGAGGCCTGGAGTGGAGGGGGGGGGGGGGGAGGGGAGGACCCATGAAATCGAAAACCTCCAACACGAATCGCCCTGGAAGCTTCCCCACAACTTGCGACAACCACTGTCCATCCAAAATGGAGGCTCGCAATCCAACATGGAGGTTTTCGATTCTCTGGGGAGCCCTGACTCCAGATCCGCCCTACTTTGGGGAAATTCGTAAGTAGGGCTTGGAATTTCCGCCTTACTTTTCGAGCCCCGCTGATGCCAATTTCCGCCCTACTTTTCTGTTGCTGTTTCTGTGGATTTCCGCCCTATTTTATGTTGGGTGCAGCAATTTCCGCCCTACTTTTTCGGCCTCTTATAGGTGGATTTCCGACGCAATTTTAAGTTGGAAAAAAAGCCAAAGTAGGGCGGATCCGGAGTCAGGGAGGGGGGGGGGGATCGGAGGAGACCGCGGACGCCCTCAGTGTCATGCCCGCAGTCTGCGCCACGCCCCCGCTGCCTGCCGTCGGCGGCTCAAAGAGGGGGCCCCGAGGGATGGGGCCCTGAGGACGAGTGGCCTCAAACAGTGCTAAAGTTCAGCTTGGGATCCCTTTCGCTCCCATGCAGTCGAGGCGTTGACCTAAGGAACCCTAAATAAGGAACGAGGCCCCATTTTCACTAAGTTAACCTTCGATTTCCCATCGAAGCTGAAGGAAAACCTTAGGCAAGGTGTGGAACAATTAAGGAACACCTAGCCCCTCCCAAACGAAAAGGGCTCCTTCTTCAGCGCCCCGACTGTAGGGCCTCATCCCTCAGGGCCCCATCTCTGAACCGCCAACACCGCACCACTTCCCAGCGCGCCAGCCAGGCGGATCGCACGATCGACGCGCTCGGCCAACGACCCTCTGGCAGGGGAGCTGTGGCGAAGCCAGCGATGCTTGCAGGGGTGGCGCCGCGCCGAAGAGTCGACCATGAAAACCGCCATCAACAGGGAAACAAAAAGTGACATAACCATAAAAACTCGGAGGTCCGCGCGGATTTCTCGGATCGGCGCTGGGGCCCCCCGGCGGCGCCTCCGGCGCCGCCCCCTGGCGCGCTCCGCGCGCCGGGGAGGGGGCCCCAGAGCCGATCCGAGAAGTCTGCGCGGACCTCCGAGTCTTTGTCTACGTCACTTTTTGTTCCCCCAAGGTTCGTGTCGTGCAGACGCGGCGGCGACCCCAGCGCGTGCACTCCAGGTCGAACCCCCCAAGAACCCGGAATCGGCCGACATCGCACGATCTGCGCGATCGGGAAGCCGCCCGCGATAGCTCAAGGGTGAACGATTCACTTTTTTTTTTTTTACAGCCGCAGGCGGAAGCGCCAGCGGCGGAAGGTCGCGAACGGGCCGCGGACGCGACTAAATTACCTAACGCGCGCAGGGCGAGGAACGATCCACGCGGTGTGTCAGAAACCAGAGCAGAGGTCGCCACGGCACGCGCGTGCGCCCCTCATCAATCCCGCGCGCCACCTCTGGAAGACGCGGGGGACGCCGGGCAAGAGAACGCAGGCGCTCCCCTGGCCACGGCGAGCCTTGGCCACGACTAGGCTGCTCGCGCCCATAGGTCTGCCGAGCGGCCCGCACACTGGAGTCGACGCCACGCTGAAGAGTCGACGCTGAAGAGTCGACCATGAAAACCGCCATCAATCCCGCGCGCCACCTCTGGAAGACGCGGGGGACGCCGGGCAAGAGAACGCAGGCGCTCCTCTGGCCACGGCGAGCCCCGGCCACGGCCGGGCTGCTCGCGCCCATAGGTCTGCCGAGCGGCACGGACACTGGAGCCCCCGTCCTGAAGCCAAAGCGGTCGCGGCAGCCGTTTGCGTAGGGGCCGACCGTCCCGGCGTTCCTGTATGAGGGGGCCCTGGGACACACAAATAAATACAGACAAACAAAAATATCCCCTATATTTTCCTATATTTTCTGGGTTCCTGTCTCCCCCCCACTTCCTATATTTTCCAATATTTTTCTGGGAATCGCCGATTAATTGCATCTGTGTGTTTTTTCCCCTTCTGACTATAGTCCTGCCACGAAATGCTCTTAGAACCCAAAAATGTTCTAAGAAGCAAAAACAAGGTTCCTCGAACACAAGCCCGATGTGATAAAGCAAGACAGGCTCCGCCAGAAATGCTCTGAGAACCTCTCGTGGAAGCCACAAAAGGTTCTCAGCACATTGCTTGGTAGGGCTATGGGCGAGCCAGGACGCTTCGCCGCTGCTTGAGAATCCGGGGTCCAGGGCTCGGCCGTCGATGACGCCGCCGCGCTCGCGGTCGCCGCCGCTCCCGTCGCGGCGCGCCACAAGCTGCACCCCGCCGGCCGCGCCCCGCGAGGTGCAGCCCACCAGTCGCACCCAGGCTGCATGCACCGACTTTATCAAAATAATTGTATTAAAAAAAATCGAAAAATAATCTGGGGACGATTTGTTGAATATTTGTTGACCTTTTTGGTGCATTTTTGAAATATTTTTCATTTTTCGTCGAAAATCCCCCTGTAGGGGGACACGCCCGACATAACACCAACTGGCCCGGCTATAAAAGCCTCGTCAAACATGGATTGAGACGCCGTTCAAAATCGAAGCGCTCCGTTGCTCGGGCACTTGTGAGAAAACGCGCTCTTCGATGCTGTGAGGGCACTGCCGGATCTCGGACACCCCTGCGACTGGGCCGAATACCTCATGCCAGCATTTGAAGTTAGCACCGACCACGCAAGCACCGGAAACGAAAACCGTCAGCGTATGTTTGACGAATCTTGTATCGGGCGTTGGCAGAACTGGGTTTAGCGAGACCTGGTTTAGTGACTTGTACACCCTGCGAAATGCTTAAGAAATCATGGGTTAAGAAATTCCTAGTCTCAGAAATTGAATAAAACCCAGAACTTCTATCAACATCTTGGGATTTACATTGAAAAATTACGAATAATCGAGACTCTGGACGAAAACTTGGGTTTTCTTAAGCATCGCCTAAGGTGTACTGGGGGGAAGCCACCCCTGCCCCGTTCCACGAACCGGAACGCCGTCACCCGAGAAGCACCAGCTGCGGCAGACCTGGTCTCCTCCAGATCTCGTAACACAGGGAGGGGGGTCTCACTTCGGGGGGGGGTCTCTTCCAGGCTATCTTGGAGGGCCTGGGGGGTCTGGGGACGATGTTTTGGAGGGTCCTCCCACGGGGGAGGTCTGAAATGGCTTGTCTTGGAGGGTCCAGACCCCCTCCCTTTTATTACGAAATCTGGAATCGTGACTGTGGTCAATTTAAACGCTCCGGGGCCCTACTACTAACCGGGTCCCCTTACCTGGGATCCTGGCTATACCCGAGTGCAGGAGCGCGGGACAAGCCCTGCGGTCGCGGAGAGCGGTCGGTGGCCCGCTCCCTCGACGCGCAGGCCGCGCGGGACTGGATGCGTCGGGCGGCAGCCGGCACGACCACAGGGCCAGTCGTGGAGGAGCCCCTCTGGGCTTGTGGATGCCACGACAAAGGGCACCCTAAGAGTCCTATCATTGAAGTGAAAATGTGTTCAAAATGTCGGAAAATGTTCTCAACATGTTTTAAGCGTGTTTTTAATGTTCAAAACATGCTTTAGACATCTGGACATAATTTGGCAACATGCTTCCTCTCCGTTGATCGTCCTCCACAACCCTAGGCAACGAGGCCGTTCGCCGACAACGGCCCAGATCACACGTGCACACAGTGACGGACCCCCAGGCAGGAACTCTGCGCACAGGTGCATGCAGACATTGGGACGATGGGCGGCGCTGGCGACGCATTGATTGGTGTGGTTTGATGGCGTTGCACATGTGAGGAGCAAATTTCAAGCGACGCCTGCCGAAGTAAAGTCGTAGGCAGCTGGGCCGTACACGCAAGGCCAGTCGCCAACGTCGGGAGGTCGCGCAGGCCGGCGTCCAATCACGGTGCGAAGCAGGCAAATCGTCCAGCGCCCTCCAGCGTGTGCAGGCACTCCCCAGAATCGGCCGACCAGACCTTCGCCACGCTGTCGTTATCAGAGATGAGAGGCGAAAAGGTCACCACGTGCTGGCCATCTGGCGAGAAGACGGCGGAGACGGCCCTGTCCTTGTGGCCTTCCAGCGCGCACGGGCCCTCCCTGGAGGCGGCCGTCTTCCTCCTCTTCCTTGTCTTCCTCCTCGACCAGACGTTCGAGGTCCCATCCAACGAAACCGTCAGAATCTGCTTGCCGTCCGGCGAGAACACGGCGTCGACAAGCTCCCCCTGGTAGCCCTCGAGCGTGCGCAGACACTCCCCCGAGAAGGCCGACCAGACCTTCGCAGTCTGGTCCGCAGAGGCGGTCAGCACCCACTGCCCGTCCGACGACGAGACGAGGACATCGACCATGCTCGGGGGTGGACAGAATCACACTAGAATGCCCTGGAACGATCTTCAACGCGACCAAGCATTTAAAAACACTTTGGGCAGGGATGAGTAAAGAAATCCGCATACACAGTCGGCGCGGGAGATGCCCTTCGACGCGAGGCCAGCCCAATCCAAACTGAAGTACGTCAGCCTTCTTTGAACCATCGTCGCCGCAAGGCAAGTCGAACAAAACAGAAAGGGGATCTACGTAACAATGTCGCAATTACGTCGTCGAAGGGAAGCCCCTTCCCCTTGTCCCGAAGGGAACCCTTTCCCTTTGTCTCTTCCCCGCCAAGGGGGTCCCGGGAAGGGTCCCAGGGAAGGGACAATGAATCGTCGATTCCCAAGAAAGTATGTAAAAAATGGGAAGTGGGAGGGAAGACAAAAACCCAGAAAATATGGGAAAATATTGGGAACATGTTTATGTGTGTGTAGTTTGTGTGTCCCAGGGCCCCTTCAGTACCAGGAGGGGCCTTGGGGACCAGGGGGTGGTCTCCCTGTCGGCAGGCTAGCTCAGGACCCCTCCCCCCGCCTCGGCCCCGGCTCCGTCCCTGGCCCCATGCAGCCCCTGCCGCGGCCCCAATCCCCAGCCCCGGCCCCAGCCCAGTCCCGGCCCTGGCCCCGGCTTTCCCCCTTGGTCTTCGCCTCCCAGAAGCCCTAGCCCCGAGGAAACAAACGTCTCCTCCTCGTCCTCCTCCTCCTCCTCCTCCTTGTCCTCCTCCTCCTCCTCCTCCTCCTCCATTCACTTTATTTCTTATAAATAACCCCTCCCTGTCGCGCCCCGAGGCCAGTCGAAAGGGCAGGCCGGGCGTTTCGCCTCTTCCTCATCATCTACGACCTTGAAGCTTAAACATTGACAACACTTTCACACATGGAGGGTGAGTGGCTTCCAACATTTGGTTCTCGCCTTAGCGCCGCGTACATTCGTTTCACAGGATTACACAAGTTGGACGGATTGAGGACGGCTCGTTTTCAACATGTGGCTCTCGCCTTCGCGCCGTGCGCATTCGCTTGAAACATTTGCAAAAGCTTCACGGAGTGAGGGCGGCTCGTTTTCAATATGTGGTTATCGCCTTAGCGCCGCGCGCATTCGTTTAAACACATCACGGCTTCTCATGGTCAACGTACCAGAGATAGTGTTTTGGACGAGTCGGGCCCAGGATTGCGACGGTGCAACAGTTATGTGGTAGTGATGTCCCAAGAATGGCGTTCTGGCACGATTCAGGATCGTCAAGACGCAACAGTCAGGTTTATCCGTGGCGTTGGAGTCCCGAGAAATATGTTTTGGCAGGCTTCAGGGACTTCAAACGGTTGTCTTCCAACGGGGCAGCTCCCTCAGTGGAATGAGCCCTTGTAGGGGCCCATGAAGAGAGAGCTTGGAGAGAGGGCTTATCCCACCATCGTTGATGAGTCTTGGGTTTGCACTGGTCCTCCTGCTGGTCCTCCTCCTCTTCCTCCTCTTCCTCCTCGTCCTTCTCCTCCTCCTCCTCCTCCTTCTCCTTCTCCTCCTCCTCCTCCTCCTCCTCCTCCTCCAATCCTTTCCCTTATGCGTGACTCCTCCCTGTCGCACCCCGAAGCCAGTCAGAAGAGCGGACCAGGCGTTGCGCCTGAGATTTCCTTATCACTTATGATCCTGAAATTTAGAAGCTGACAGCAGTTTCACACATGGGGGGCAGGTCGTTTCCAAAATGTGGTTCTCGCCTTAGCGTAGCGCACATTCGTTTTAAATGTGCAAGAGTTCACGGATTGAGGACAGGTGGTGTTCAAAATGTGGCTCCCGCCTCAGGCCCGTTCACATCCGTTTGAACAAAATGCAAAAGTTGCACGGATTGAGGGCGGGTCGTCTTCCCAGTGTGGCTCTCGCCTTAGCCACGCGCGTATAGATTATTCCCATACCTCCTGCGTTGGGTTCTCGTTTTGAATAGAGCACTGCTCGCGCGTCTCCTTTCTTCCTTCCTTCCTTCCTCCTTACCCTTGCCTTTTGCCTCGCTCGTCGCTGCGTGCCAGCTGGGGGGCTGTGATCTGCGAAACTGTCGCCGCTTTCGAAGGCTGCTGGGAGGCCCAGCCCAGAGGGTACACACGGCGGACTCAAACTGTACCTCGCCATCCCTGGGGGGCTGCGATCTGAGAAACTGTCGCCACTTTCGAGGCCCGCTGGGCCCAGCGCAGTGTACCCACGCCAATTAGACCTCGCAATCCCTGGGGGGTTGCGATATGCGAAACTGTCGCCACTTTCGAGGCCTGCTGGGGGGCCCAGCACAGTGGGTACCCACCGCAGTTTCAAATTAGACCTCGCCATCCCTGGGGGGCTGCGATCTGTGAAACTGTCGCCACTTTCGAGGCCTGCTGCGGGGGCCCAGCACAGTGGGTACCCACCGCAGATTCAAATTCAACCTCGCCATCCCTGGGGGGCTGCGATCTGTGAAACTGTCGCCACGTTCGAGGCCTGCTGGGGGGCCCAGCACAGTGGGTCCCCACTGCGGAGTCAAAATGTTGACCTCGCCATCCCTGGGGGCTGCGATATGCGAAACTGTCGCCACTTTCGAGGGCTGCTGGGGGGCTCAGCACAATGGGTACACACGGCGGACTCAAATTGGAACTCGCCATCCCTGGGGGGCTGCGATCTATGAAACTGTCGCCACTTTCGAGGCCAGCTGGGGGGCCCAGCACAGTGGGTACACACGGCGGACCCAAATGGGACCTCGCCATCCCTGGGGGGGGCTGCGATCTGTGAAGCTGTCGCCACTTTGGAGGCCTGTTGGGGTGCCCAGCACAGTGGGTAGCCACGGCGGACTCAAATGAGACCTCGCCATCCCTGGGGGGGCTGCGATCTGTGAAACTGTCGCCACTTTGGAAGCCTGCTGGGGGGGGCAACACAGTGGGTACCCACTGCGGAGTCAAATGTGACCTCGCCATCCCTGGGGGGCTGCGATCTGTGAAACTGTCGCCACGTTCGAGGCCTGCTGGGGGGCCCAGCACAGTGTGTAGCCACGGCGGGCTCAAATTAGACCTCGCCATCCCTGGGGGGCTGCGATCTGTGAAACTGTCGCCACTTTCGCGGCCTGCTGGGGGGCCCAGCACAGTGGGTACACACGGCGGACTCAAATGAGACCTCGCCATCCCTGGGGGGGCTGCGATCTGTGAAACTGTCGCCGCTTTCGAAGCCTGCTGGGGGGGCCAGCACAGTGGGCACCCACGGCGGACTCAAATTAGACCTCGCCATCACTGGGGGGGCTGCGATCTGTGAAGCTGTCGCCACTTTCGAGGTCTGCTGGGGGGCCCAGCACAGTGGGTACCCACGGCGGGCTCAAATGACACCTCGCCATCCCTGGGGGGCTGCGAACTGTGAAACTGTCGCCACTTTCGCGGCCTGCTGGGGGGCCCAGCACAGTGGATACCCACTGCGGAGTCAAATGTGACCTCGCCCTGGGGGGCTGCGATCTGTGAAACTGTCGCCACTTTCGAGGCCGGCTGGGGGGCCCAGCACAATGGGTATCCACGGTGGACTCAAATGTGACCTCGCCATCCCTGGGGGGCTGCGATCTGTGAAACTGTCGCCACTTTCGAGGCCTGCTGCGGGGCCCAGCACAGTGGGTACCCACGGCGAACTCAAATGTGACCTCGCCATCCCTGGGGGGCTGCGATCTGTGAAGCTGTCGCCACTTTCGCGTCCTGCTGGGGGGCCCAGCACAGTGACGCCACACGCAGATTCAAATTAGACCTCGCCATCCCTGGGGGGCTGCGATCTGTGAAACTGTCGCCACTTTGGAGGCGTGCTTGCGGGGCCCAGCACAGTGACGCCTCCCAAGTAGCTTGCACATCAAGTTGATTGTCCATACAAGTTTCGACCAACTCCTCGTTTCCATTGATACAAATGGGTTGGGTACGTCACAGGGTAGTTTTTTTTATGACCTGCATGAGTTGCACGGATTGGGTGATATTCCTGTTCTAAATGTGACTCTCGCTTTAGCGAAGCGCACAATCGCGTCAACCCAAGACGAGAGTTTCACAGCTTCTCATAGCTAACGTACCAGAAATAGTGTTTGGAGTCATTTCGGATTGTCTGGGCGCAGCAGATACCATGATTCATGGTGCTGAAGTCCCAGGAATGGCGTTCTGGCGCGATTCATGATCGTCCAGACGCAACAGTCAGGTTGACTCGTGTCGTTGGCGTCCTGCGCCTGGTGCTCTGACACGCTTCAGGATGTTCAAACGGCTGTCTCCTTACCGGGCACTTCCCTCAGTGAAACTGAGTCTGTGTACAGGCCTATGACGAGGGAGTTTGAAGGATGTATTCCAACATCGTTGGTGAATCCTTGGTTTCACACTGGTCCTTCTCCTCCTCCTCCTCCGCCTTTTCCTCCTCCTCGTTGTCCTTTTCTTCTTCTTCCTCCTCGTCCTCCTCTTCATGCTCCTCTTCCTCATCCTTGTCCACCTCCGTTTCATCCTCCTCCTCCCCCTCCTGCTCCTCCTCTTCCTCCTGCTCCTCCTCCTCCTCCTTCTCTTCCTCCTCCTCCTCCTCCTGCAACCTCCCTCCTCCTCCTCCTCTCCCTCCTCCCTCGTACCCCTTACCCCTCCTCCATCCTCTTCCTCCTCCTCCTCCCCTCCTCCTCTTCCCCCTCTTTCTCCTCACTCCTCCTCGCATCTTCCGCCTCCCCGCATCTTCCGCCTCTGTCTCCTATCCTCTGTCTCCTCCTCCTCCTCCCTCCGCCTCCACATAAAACCCCCAGGGTGGTGGATGGGGGGGGGGGGGGGGGGGGAAAAGGGGGTGTTGAAAAGGAAGACTCATCCTCCTCAGCATTCCACTTCTTCTTCCTCCTCCTATCCTCATCATCGTTCTCTCTCCTCCTCATCCGCCTTCTCCTCGTGATGCGTCTCCGCCTCCTCCTCCATTTCGCCGCCTCCGCCGCCTCCTCCTCATTTTCCGTTTTTCCCTCCCCCACCCCCTTCCCCACCCTCCTCTTCCTAATCATCTACCTATTC